GGTGGTAAGAGGTAATATTTTTATGCATAAATAGCCTTAGAGACATTAAAGGAGGAGATTGGAAACTTTGAAAGTACCATCTTTTCCTTTGAACAGTAGGAAGAAACGTCTAGAAGTATCTATTCTATTGGTATCCCTGGAGGTGGGTGGGGCCTATGGAGAGCGGGGAAGGAGAAGCTGTTACTAAAGTCATGTGCTGCCGCCCAATGGACAGACTTAGCAATGCAGAGAGGAGGGGGGGAGAAAGAGGAGAGAGGAGAGAGAGAGAGGAGAGAGGAGAGGAGAGAGGGAGAGGGAGAGAGGGAAGGAGAGACGGGGAGGAAGGGAGGGAGGGAGGGAGGGAAGGAGGGAAGGAGAGCTTCCAATTCTATATTTGTACATTTATTCTTAAAAATTTCTTTCAGCAAGTATTTATTGTCCATAGTGCATCATACAAAGTAATGCAAGATAAACTAGACTCCTTGTTACTTAAGAAACAGATGCAGAATAGTAGATAAAAATAGGCTTAGAAACTTTCTTATTATGGAATTTCCCACTTAAGAACATCTATTGATTTTTCTTTTCAATCTTGTGCTTAAGAGCAAAAGCACATCCATATTTTCTCCATATGTAGTAGCATTATTTGTCTGGAAAGACAGTTTAATTTTGGGACTATTTAATTGAGATGGATTTTAAATTTGGTGTTAAGATATTTTACTTACTTTATGGACCCTGACTTACTAATAAGAGTATGATGTAGTGGAGAGAAAAGTCAAGGTAACTCTAAGAATTGAGAAATAAGACAAAAAATGAAAAAAAATTCTACAGCCTTGTGGGATCTATTTGTCACGAGTGGAGTTGATTCTGAAAGACACAGCATAAATCCTATATCCTGTGAAAAGCTTAGCTCCAGTATATTTGAAAAATTCTCAGATTGGTGATTGACAAAATACAATTTGGGGTTATAAATAGAAGATCAGAATTAGTGTCAGAAGAATAGTAGGCTCAAAATCATGTATAAGGAGAAAGGGAGATGATGATCCTTAAGGCTATTGAGTAAAAGCTGTAGGGAAGTTCTGAGGTGAGTGCACAGCCTTGAAGCTCCATTACCTTCTGCAATCTGCACCAGAGAGGTGATGCTGGCTGTGAGTGCACCATGGCTCTGGCTTAGCAGAATGTGTTCCCAACACAAGTGAAGCTGTTCTTTTATCTTTAGCTGCACAATAGGACTTTCCAGCAAGAACGCAAAAGTGTAACTTGTATTAGACACTTGAACAAACACTTTAGTACTTGCTGTCTATACAGCTTATGCCTACAAAATGAAAACCATGGGTGTAATGCATATAGAAGGCTGTGCCAGGCTTGAAAAGGCTTTTATTTTATTGCCAGTCCTGGGGCTTGAACTCAGGGTCTGGGTGCTGTCCCTGAGCTTCTTTGCTCAGGGCTAGCACTCTACCACTTGAGCCACAGCGCCACTTCCAGCTTTTTCTCTGTATGTGGTCTTGAGGAATTGAACCCCAGGGCCTCATGCATGCTAGGCAAGTGTTCTACCACTAGGCCACATTCCCAGCCTAGAAGGCAGTCAGTCTAGCATGTTGGTGAGCAAAACAACTTGCTTGTTCAGGAATTCATGCAACATAATTATTTATTCAATGGTCTAAGCATACATATTGAAGGGACAACTCTGTGTCAGGCATCGTTCTAAGTTTTTCAGATCAAACACCAGGAAAAAAATTAACTAAGGTCTTTGTGGTGCTAGAACTTATATCTTTGTGAGGGAAGGAAACAAATAGAACCACTATAGACACTGAAATAGGCAATATAAACAGCTGATGAAATAGTAAAAACATAGTAAATAGTAAGATAATAACAGATAGATGCTATATGAGGAAATGAGCACTGAAGTGAAAAGGAAAGATGGAGCAGGTTAAGGGAGTTTGTAGGGGGCTGAGGGAGAAAGGAGACTAAGGGCACTTACACATAAAGTGGTCAAGATTGGCTTTTTGTGAACTACAAAGAACTGAATTTTCTAAACATTGTTAGATTTCTTTGATGAATCGCAAGTTTTTATTGTAGATTGTCTTGCAACTATCTGGTACTATTCTTTTATGCTTTTCCATTGATAGGTGCAAAATGGTACCTTCTTTTAACTTGTACTATCTATTTTTTAAATGGAACTAAGGTTTCGGCTCAGTACCTTCCATTTGTTAGGCATATATTTTAATATTCGAGGCATGCCCCTGACCCCATTTTTCTGGTTTCAAGTACACTTGGATATTTCTTCCTATTCTGTTTAGTCTAGTGGGCTTTGCTTCTGAACACTGCTATTGTCTTTAATATTTATTTATTTATTTATGCTGGTCTTGGGCTTGAACTCTGAGGTTGAACTCCGGAGCTTCCCCCCTCCCTTCTTCTCAAGGCTAGCACTGAGCCACTTGAGCCACTTCTCCATTTCCTGGTTTTTTGGTAGTTAATTGAAGATGAGAATCTCAGAGACTTTCTGCCTGGGATGACTTTGAACCTATATCCTTATGTCTCAGCCTTTTGAGTAGCTACGGTAAAAGGCATAAGTATGATACCAGTGCCTGGCTCATTTATTTATTTATTTATTTTGTCAGTTGTGGGGCCTGAACTCTGGGCCTGGGCGCTGTCCCTCAGCTCTTCATCTCAAGGCTAGCACTCTACCACTTGAGCCCACAGCGCCACTGCTGGCTTTTTCTGCTTATGTGGTGCTAAGGAATCAAATCCAGAGCCTCATGCATGCAAGGTAAGCTACCACTGAGCTACCTTCCCAGCCCATATTTTTAAATGATATTCTTTCTTTTTAAAAAATGTTTAGCATGAAAACTTTTTAAAAGTATGTATCTCCTACTGCTTAATAAGGTGTCTATTATGTACTTTGTTAAACAGATGTGCTCAGTTTAATTACAGTTATAGCTATCAGTTTTTTGCCTTATGGTTTGAGTTTTCATGTTGGGAACTAATTTAAGATACTTTTACTTACTTCTCAAACATGAAAGATTATCCCATGATTTCCTCTATTGGCTTTATAGCTTTCTAGACTGCAATCTCCCATCTCCAGTGAAGTCACTCAAATAGTACAAAGTAAGAGACCAACTAAATTTTCCTCTAGAAGTGAACCAGTTTTCTCCAACACAATCCTCTAATCCCCTCCCCATCATACCCAAATTTATAAGAATAAATTAGAACTAACAGAAATACCTTCTGTGTTTAACTCAGAGGGTTTTATAAGAATCACATAGATATTAAATGTGAACTTGCTTAATAATCTGTGAAACACACCATTAGTGAATACTACGGTTTAAGTTAGATGCATGGCGGTTTCTGTTTTCCAAGGGTTTTTTTTTGCTTTGTAAGGAAAGTTGTGTCTGAGTTAGCTCTTATTGGTGCTTTAATTGGAGGTAGACACCTTATCCCCAGCTCTGATCTCCTAACATCTGGCCTTATTCCTCAGGTATTAAATGAGGGATATGTGGCAACATCAGTTTTAATTCCTGTTAGTAGCTTGATGCTGGAATCACAGGATAAACCCATCACATTTAAAGTGCTTGTTACTCTGTCTATTCCACCAGATTGCAAGGTTCATGCAAGCAAGGCCTGTTTCTGTGTGGTTCAAAAATAGCTCAAAAGAATTCATGAGTCCAGTCCTTTGCAATTTGGTCACTTTTACTAAATGACCCAAGCAACTGTGTAAAGGAAGTACTGAATAGCCCAATTAATAGAAAGGCTGATCTTCTCTAGGTTAGAACCCTACAGTTATTCATATTCATATACTCAACATAGAGTCTAACAATTGGAACAGGGTAGTAGCTCACTAAATTATGAGTAACTAAGTGGGGGAAAAGCCCATATAGTGAGAATGACCTAGTAGGTTCAGTGTTGTCAGCAGACTTATGGGGAGAGGGTTGGCATCCACACTGAAAGTTCTGAATACATGATATCATTTCAATTTTCATTCGAGGCAAAAGAGAGACCATTCAGTCAGTCTCTAGCCTTTGTCATGACCTACAAGTGGAACTATTCTCTTCAGAGTTTGGGTATTATGTTGTATCATTCTGGGAAAGTAACTTGACCTCCTGGCTTCTGTTTCCATCTTAGAAACATGAGAGAAGCACATCTGTTCAACACTGCTCAGAGCCTGCCAAAGGCTGAACCTCCAGTACCTGTCATTGGAAATACCTGCTCGCATCCACCAATGAGAAACAGAAATAGAACTCAGAAAGGGGTGGGCTTGGAGGCGAAAGTTGTAGCATCAACTATTCTCCCACTTTTCCTTTCACATATGCTGGGATTTTTTTTTACTCCTTTATATTCAATTTTCTGTCTGTAACTGAGAGTGTTTTTATTTGTAATCACAAACTTCCAGGGCTGGACAGTAGATTTATAAGTAAATACATGACTGTACTTTGAGCACAGGAAGGTTTTATTTTCACAATTCTAATGATTTCAGTTGTTCTGTTTTATAAACCACAGCAACTCTTGTTGCCCAAAACATGGGGTATCACACCACACCCTTCAATCCTGTGGAGATTGTTGACAAGGGAAGCCCATCATAAATTAATCAGCTGCTGCATCAGGTAATTTGTTTTGTGCAGTCAAAATGATATGTCATACAAGTATTAAAGATTGATACATCTCTTTAGGAGAGAGCAAAAGGGATAGGTAGCAAAAGCCAAAAAAATGTAACTTATAAAGTATTGGCCCAGGAATTATACTGCAACAACCTGCAAAGAGTTATCATATAATGAGAAGGAAAGAATGTCCTTAATATATATATATATGCATATATGTATATATAAACGCCCTTTAAGGGTGTTCTTTCTTTTTCATATATATATATATATATATATATATATATATATATATATATATACACGGGCTGGTACTGCCCATTTTCTCTCCTATTATGCCTCTAAAGAAATGTTTTATTTTTTCTTCCTGCTAAATATTATGAGCCTGTTGAGCCAATAAGTGAAGTCATCAGATATTGAGTTACTCACTCTTTGGTTTGTCCATGTATGCTCTTCCTCTGAAATTCATGTCTTCTTAGAGAGGACAGGCTCCCGCTTTTCTTCAGGGAGCGAGCAGCTGTGTCTTTCATAGGGTCAGACATCATCCTATTTTGTGGAAGAATTTGTACAGTAGCAAAAGAAAGACCTGAAAAATCTTTTTAGCTTTAGAAGTGCATCTCCAATAAAGCACATGGGTACTTTTTTCTCTCTTTTTCAAATGGGGCCATGGGGCTTCCTCAAGAGGAGAGCTTATACAGGGTATAAGCTGTGGTCAGTATAACTGGAAATATGATACACCTGAGCACTTTTCTTTATGCAGTAGTATATATAATCACACAAGCAGGTATTGGACGCTTGAAAAAAATGCCTAATGCTCCAAGAGGGACGAAGTGAGAAAAGATAGCTGCGGGTGGAGGAAAGACACTCTTTCATCTACTACAGAAAACAGTATTTTTAGCACCCTCCATACTGAATTGTTGTACAAGTTAGCTGTTTACTGTTTACTGTTGCTCCATAAAATTTGGGGCAGAGTGTTGCTCAATTGTAAGAACTCTTGTCTAGAATTGTACAAGGAGAGCCTTGGACTAAATTCCCAACACTGCAAAAATAAAATAATACGGTAAAAAATAAACCTTGTTGTCTAAACATTTTTTTTGAGGGAGTGGCCCCAAGACTTGCTTTATGGCATGGGCACTGTCCTTGGGCTTTTTTTTTTCCCCCCATAAGGGTAGCACACTACAACCTGCGCCGGAGCTAGCTCTACATATGGCTTTTTGGTTAATTGGAATTAAGTCTCACAGACTTTTCTGCCCAGGCTGGCTTCAAAACATGATCCTCACTCAAATCTCAGCCTCCTGAGTAGGTGGGATTATAGTCATAAGCCACCAGCACCTGGCTCTAAATAGTTTGTAAGCAACATGCCTTCAAACTCATGCTGAAGAGCAGCTCTCTCTCTCTCTCTCTCTCTCCCCCCCCCTGTGGCTGGCCCCATGTGTACAAAGCAGAGCGAGTCTATGAATGTGAAGCAGGCCCAGCCTAATGAAATGGACCATGGGTCTCCTCAGCAGTTGCAGGCCGCTCCCGATCCCCTCACCCCTTCTCCCCTGTCCCCTTTCATCCCCCCCTCCCCCAGACCAACAAAGGAATCTGAAGGATTCCAGGGTTGCATGCAGCCAGCCTGGGAATTCACTCTGCTCAGGATCCGGCCAGCTCTGCCTTGGACATCACCTTGTGAGTCCAGTTATACAGGCCAGCTGTAGACCAAACGTCCAGTCCCCAAATTTGGGGATCCTTTTATCTTACTGGTTGAGGGGAGGAATAATAAGGCGGTGGTGGAGCAGGTCATTTCTCAACTTAGGGTGGCTGCCTCCCTGGTCTCTTTCCCCCCCTGGGCACTTACCTACCACCCGCTGGCAGTGGACAGCCCAGCCCTGGGCCTCCTGGACCCCTGGATCGTCTACTTCGGGCCTGGCTGTTACTCCCGGGGCCTCTCTCTGCCCGCAGCTCTGAGCGCACTCCCCACCCCTGACGCCGGACTCCGGGACTCCTCTCCAGGTCTCCAGGGCGACTTGCTCAAACATCGCCCTAGCAGGACCCGGCCGGCCGCACGTGGCCGCTATGTGGTCCCCTTCCAGTCTCTAGGGATGTAAAGATCTCATGCCACTGGCTTCCAAGTCCCCCTCTCCCTCCCCCCGCCCGCCACCAGCTCCGCTGAAAATGTATCCCGAGAGTGACATTTATTTCCAGTATCCCCGCAGCAAGAGATGGCCAAGCAGCCCCAGGGGTCTCCATGCCCGAGGTGCTTTCCAAAAGTGCCAAGATAGGGTGGTGGTAGAAGTAGCCAATGGCTTGCATTTGCCAGATCCTCTTGTCTGCCAAACTCCATCTCGCCCACCCCGCCCCCGCCTCCGCCTCCCCCAGCCCGCATTCTCCCCCCACACCCAACACACAGCATACCTTGGCAATGCTCCTTCACTTAACATGATTCATGCCCGACTGTTAAGAGCTTAAGAAGCTTTGAAATGGAGGATGTTAGGGGGTTGAGGACTCATTAGCCACACTCAGGTGCTCCTTGTCCTCATTAGCAACCATCTTCTGCTCTGAACTCTTCTGTCTTTCCCAAATAAAAAGCAAGTAAACTAGACCATGTGGACATTCCCCAGTACGGGGTCATTGAAAGAAGAGATAAATAATGCCCACAATCCAGGCGCTGGTAACTCATGCCTGTCATCTTAGCTACTCAGGAGGCTGAGATCTGAGGATCACAATTCGAAGTCAACCTGGGCAGAAAAGTCTGTGACATTCTTATCTTCCTCCAGTTAACCAGCAAAAAGCCAAAAGTGGAGGTGTGGCTCAAGTGGTAGAGTGCCAGGGAGAGCATAAGGTCCTGAGTTCATGCCCTAATACAGTAAAAATATACACGCATACATATATACATAAACTAATGTTGACAAACCCTTAGCCTACTGTAAGGCTTTTGGAATTAGCACTGGCTTACCATAATAATTGACATTGGGCATACAGTAGAGCAGTCATGATAATGTAGGAAAAAGACCACTGAAGTCTTCCTGCCCAGCTAAATCCTTTTTACTCAAACATAAGGACAGGAGGGCTGGGAAGGTGGCTCAGTGGTAGAGCGCTTGCCTTGCATGCATGAGGCCCTAGGTTCGATTCTTCAGCACCACATAAGCAAAAAGAAAAAAGCCAGAAGTGGTAGAGCGCTAGCCTTGAGCTGAAGAGCTGAGGGACAGCACCCAGGCCCAGAGTTCAGGCCCCACGACTGGACCCTCCCCTCCCCCCAAAAAAGATAAGGACAGGAAAGATTTATTGAGTATCTTTCATAAACTAAATAGGACCCAGGAGTTACAGGTAAATATTATTTCTATCTGTTCAATGACCCAATGGTAGGGACCACATTATTCCTTTTTTAGTGTGTGTGTGTGTGTGTGTGTGTGTGTGTGTGTGTGTGTGTGTGTGTGCATGCACTTGACCTGGGCATTAAACTCAGAACCTGGATACTGTCCCTGAGCCTTTTGCTCAAGGCTAGTTCTCTACCTCTTGAACCAAAGCTCCATTTTAGGCTTTCTGGGGGTTAATGGGAGATAAGAGTTTTATGGACTTTCTTGCCTGGGATAGCTTCAAACTGTGACCCCGAGATCTTGGCCTCCTGGGTAGCTAGGATTATAGGAGCCACCACTCAGCACCCAGCTTATATTATTTCATTAATAAAAATAAGGTAATAGAGAATCACTGATAACAAACTCAGGTCTATAGTTAAATTATGGACCTGAAATTTGTGGGACTCAACCTTTCACTCATCATCCCTTCCCGGATATACAGTGAAGTTTCCAGAAATGTAGGTAAAAGTTTAAAAGGTTGACAATAAAAGAGGTTCACAATTTGATTTATTTTCATACTTTTATTTTCCAGAAAAAAGATCACATTTCAGTAACAACTTACTCACATAGAGAATTAAACTTTATTCTGAAATGGGAACCCTATTTGCAGTCACATGTCATGATAAATAATTGCATATTCAAGATTTTGTTGAAATGAGTGACTGGGAAAATTATGAAGGACAGAACATTTATAAAAATCAGTATTTACAAAACAGTGATCTTCTCATTTTTTCTAACTTATAAGGCAAGTAATGTTAAGATGGTCTCACAATTATCTTCAACAAGTCACTCTTGTACGTTCATTCACACAGGCCACCATTGCTCAGCAGAGATTTCCACTGCTGATTTGCAGGTTTCTCTGAGCATCATACAGAAGCAGAAAAGCTTCAGTTACAGATTAAGCAGTAATGGCTGTCAAAAAATTCAGCTGAGTTAAGAATGGAGGAAAAAAGAGGATCCACCAATACTTGAACTAAATTCACTATATCTTGAGTATTTTAATAAACATTTCCTTCTATGAATATTTTGTGGCCAATGTATTTTTGTATACACAAGGTTATAAAGAAATTCAGTGAATTTTTTGCTACATAGCTCATGGAGAACTGTAATTAAAGCACGCATGGACAGCATTTTTCTTAGCTGATTGGTTTTCATGATCTCTACAAATACAGCAACATTTCTTTGAAATTTCTTTTTGAGAACCCAATCACCACTTAGTAAGTGTGAAAATTAAAATTTGACCATTTCATTTATGCAGATCTTTATAAGTGAAAGACTAACAGACATTCTTTTCAATTGAAACACAATAGTGTTCAAACAGCTTTAAAAGTCAGCTCTATAAATTACTGCTTGACCTGCAGTGAAAACTCTGCTCATGGAAAAAATTAGCATATTATTATAATGCTAGTTTTTGTTTTTTGGAGAACTATTTATTCAGCAGCAAATTTTCCAATTCCCTTAGATTGACATGAGAAGGGAAATAAGGAAGTGAGGGAAAAGGGAAGGACGGAGGAAGGGACAGACAGAGGAAGAAGGGAGGTGGGGGGATCAGATAGAAGCCAATCTCTTTCATTCATCTTCATTTAACAAAGCAATAACTAGACACTATCTGCAAAAACTAGACACTACCTGCAAAATTCATACTGTTGTAATAATCATCATCCTAGAAACTCAGAAGGAAAAGTACATCTTGTGATATTTGTTTGGTGTCTTTTTAAATATAGTTTAATGTGTTGTTTTATGAATGGCATTAAGGTTTTTTTTTGCTAGAAAAATGTCACATCATATATAATGAATGACTCAGATGGAATTAACATTTACATCATATGTCCATTTGATGAAGCATTAAAATTATAGATGGATTATGATTGATTAGCTGATTCATAAGATCTGAATAAAAATTGAATTATAAAGAAATGTAAAATGGTTCCACTTTATCCCTTTCTAAATAACAATTTACCCAGATAAATTTTTTAAAAGGAACATAGCTGATTTTATGTTAAAAATTCATTTGCAAAAATAAGCAACCAAAGCAAAGCAAAAGAAAACATTGTAAAATATACTTTGAAGGAATGTATAATCCTGCAAAATTTATGTGAAATAGTGCATTGCTCTTAGCTTTTAATAAAATGTTTTCCCCATAATTTCTAATAAGCTTACATAAAAATTCTGTCAACACTGATTGAGCTAACATGATTCAGTTTCTT